GTTGTCTTCGGATAGCGCAACGGCTGTAGTCTCTTATATTGGTCTCCATTAAGGAGTTGATGTCCCGTAAGGGTTTTATCGTGAATAAATCAATCATCAAGTCAAGTCAAGTACCAAATAATAACCACTCCCCTCCCCATTTTTTTTTTTACACAGCACGCTCTTCACTTTTTTTTTTCTTATTATGCAAAAATGGCAAATCGCACGGTTGCTACAGCTCAGTCTATCCATGGAACAAACCCTCAGTACCTCATCGAAAAGGCGTACCGCCAGCGGATCTACGATTCGCTTTACTGGAAAGAGCATTGCTTTGGCCTGACTGTAACCGGCGTCATGGAAAAGGCTGTCGACCTGAATAGCATCGGCGGCTGCTACGGCGCCAACCGCAAGCCAACAGAGTTCATGTGTCTAATGCTAAAGATGCTACAGCTGCAGCCAGACCGGCAGATGATCGATGCGCTGCTGGACCAGACTGATTTCAAATACCTACGAGCACTTGCAGCGCTCTACTTTCGCCTCACACAGCCCCCAAAGGATGTGTATAGCAGGCTGGAGCCGCTTTACCGAGACTACCGCAAGCTGAGGATGCGCACGTCAGATGGCCCGTTTGAGCTGACGCACGTTGACGAGTTTGTCGACTCGTTGCTGCGTGAAAACTTTGTGTGCTATATCACTCTTCCGCTCCTGACCAAAAGGATAGCGCTTGAAGACGCCGGAGCGCTTCCGCCACGGATCAGTCCACTTGACGACGAGTACGAAAGCAGCAGTAGCGATTCTGAATCATGAAAAATAAAAAAATGGAAAAATAAAAAGCCGAAAAAGAAACGTCAGCAGCAGGATTTGAACCTGCGCGGGCGATGCCCAACAGATGACTCGTATGATTCAAGTCTGTCGCCTTAACCACTCGGCCATACTGACTTTTTTCCAGGCGCCCTTAATCAGAGCCAAAACACAAATTGTTTTTCGGTCTAATTAAGATTTTCACTCTGTTTCGGTATATTAATGATCACTTTCAAACACGCATCTTTTTGGGCGTTGTTGCCGCCCGCCTAGCAGCTCCATTAGACTGTTGTTATTTAGTCACGACAATATACCGATAGTGTATCCGCGACTCGAAAGGCTAGAGGTCAATGAGGGCATGGCTTCGATAGCCGCGAAGATTGCTGTGGGCAAATCTGTAGCACCATTTCCGGCATTGCGTAGGCTATGTTGGTATGCGAGATATATACTTGGCGACGACACGTTGTTTAGAGGAAACTTTCTCAATCTGGAATGATTAGCCATCGTGGTTGATAAAGAGCTTACAGACGCGCTACAGAGGGAAAACCCATTTGCGGACAGAGGTTACCCAAATATATGGGGCATTTAGCAGTCAGTGCATGTAATATTTACAGCAGGATAAGCAGCTATAGTTTGCTTGTGGAATTTACAGTCAAGTTTTCCGACATTAAACATCAATCTAAAAGCTTCGTGTTTTATTTAGCAGGTAACTAGTCTGTTGATCTGTCGGGATTAGATTATCATATATTTGACGAGCACAGCATTGTGGGGAGCGAGCGGTTCTTTTGGACTTTGTATCGTATCCAAACGCAGAAACTACTTTGAGCGCAATGTCAAAAAGCTCATTGACAGTAGTTCTAGCGCCATATACTAACGATTAATTGACTCGTTGGCAATTTGGCTCTCTATATCGTAGCTCGGCCTTGTTTTTTGTTTCAATTGGCCAGCGCAAGCGTGGGCTTTGCGAAACTTTGCAGACATTTACAAAATATCACTATTCTCGGCGATGATATGTAGACATTGCCAAATTTGATTATACTGGTCAAGGTTTAGCGTGGTGACCCGAAACACGTCAATGCCACAGTTCTTTTATTAGACTAATAGATTTATACAAATAGGATAGAGTTCAGCCGCAGGTTCCAACCTAGGTCTGGAGTTGCATCAGCTAGTATATTATCGTCTGCGGTATTGCACACGATATACTCGTTGAATACGGCGGACACTGGTTTAGATTCCTCAAAAGTGGGGCATACAGGTGTGTTTGGCGGCGCGCAATAGCCCCCTTCCAACTCGTAAAACACCACGGTGCAGTCCGAGGGTAGGGCAGAATCTAACAATGCACGGTAGTTGGAGTCTGGTAGAACGTAATAGTCCGTGTGTCCAATATCGTCCTTTGGTAAAATGAACCCTATTATCTTCAGTTGTTCGGTTGGGTGTCTCTTGCGCCAAATGGATTTGACCGTTTCGCGCAGCTCCTCATAGTCGACCTATCAGGCGAAAATAAAGATGTTTAAAGTCCGCTTGCGCTTAGTTATTAGAACAGTTGAAACACGAAAGCGTGCAACCACTTTACAATTCTTATATCTGGGCTTTTACTTACAGTTGAAATGGTGCTCGCCGGCTCCGGGTACTCGTCGACTCTCTTTTGGTCAAACGTGCTGCCCCGTCGTAGTAACTGCTTAGTCATATT